GAGAATATGAAACTAAACCTTTAATCTAAAAAGATATAAAATTAGAAATTGTAGATTTGCATGAAATCGCTCCTATTTTTTATTGAACCGCTACAAGATCAACAATTCCATGAGCTTGGGCTTCTGTTGCTGACATAAAAACATCCCTTTCCATGTCTTCGGATACAACCCATATAGGTTTGCCCGTTCTTTGTACATAAACCCTTGTGATGGTTTCGCGAAGTTTTAGTAATTCTTCCGCTTCCAAGATAAATTCTCCCGTTTGTGCCTCATAAAACGAGCTAGCGGGTTGATGGATCATTACCCTGATGATATAATAGAAAAGGTTTTTCTATTTCGCAGAATGAGACGGGATAACCAAAACAAAAAAAAACAGATAAAATTGAATAACCGTACAGGCTTTTTTTGTGCATTGCATACGGCTCCACAATGGAATTGACTTTTTTGACCTTTCCTTTTGGCGAAAGAAAACAAAATATAGGTTGTATTATACGCAGATCCAGAAATCATCCAATTACCATCCTTCTTTTTTTTGTAGGAGTTAAAAAAATACTATGATGGTTCCGTTGCTTTATATATCATTTTTTTGATTCGTCTATGATTCAGCAATCCCAAAGTGTCTTTTTTTTTTTTTTTTGTACGGTGTGAAAACAAAGTTTGTGACGCTGAAATGTGCCCGAATAGGTAAGATATCATTTGAAAAACCTCTTCCTTATCTCATACTACTCTTTCAATATATAATCGAATTTTTTTTTTAATCTAAAAAATTTCATATTGAATTCGAAGTGCCATGCTATTATTACTTAACTAATTCATATTTACGATGGCGAAGGCATAGTATTTTTTTCGAGAAAAAAAAAACTCATTGGCGCCAAGCGTGAGGGAATGCTATACGTTTGGTAATTGCTCCTCCGACCAGGATAAAGGATGCTATTGAAGCGGCCAATCCCATGCATATTGTCTGTACATCGGGTCGCACAAATTGCATAGTATCATAAATAGCCATTCCAGATATTACCCATCCACCAGGAGAGTTTATAAACAAATAAAGATCTTTGGTATCCTTTTCTATACTGAGATATATCATAAGACTAATAAGTTGATTCGAGATTTCGGTATCAACCTCTTGGCCTAAAAAAAATAATCTTTCTCGATAAAGTCGGTTGATTAGGATAAATTTTTATTCCTTAGGAGCCGTACAGGCACCTTTTGGTGCATACGGTTCAACAAAAATTGTGAAAAAATCAATGTGTCGATTCCAACCTCCCCTTTTTTCATAGAGGGTTTTTCTTTCTAACTTATAACGGAAGGGCTTGCTCCCAAAAGTAAAAGAAAATTTTAGTTTTGGTGCCTTGTACCTTGTATTAGATATTATAATCCTCTAATAAAACGATTGATTAACCCTGTCAGACTCATTTGATTCATTGATATTTTTTTTTCATCGAGATTCAGTTGAAATGGCGATGGTTTTTTCTTGTTCCTGAACGGGCTTCTTCCTTTTTTTATTCCATTTTTTAGGTTTATGCTCTACCCCGAGTAAAAGGAAAAATTTGCCCGATTTTGATTTGCACATATAGGACAAATGAACCAAATACCGCGTCTTTTTTTACTACTCCTTCTTTTTTTTTTCAATTCATTTCTTTCACATGTCTTCTGTCAAATAGTCAAAAAATTTTGAATTATATTATTTGATTTGAGCAACAGTTTTAGATCGCCCTGTTTCAATTTTTTTTATAGAATTTTTATCATAATTTTACATATCATATAAGTAGTAATTATAAAAATATTATATATTAATTATCAATTGGGTTTTTGCTAAACGGAGCCTGGATACTTCATTTTATTAGTCCGATCACGTAAACCATAAAAAAATTTTGATAATCTAATATCAATTTAAATACTCCCTGCATTTAATTCCACTTTATTTTTTGCGCTTCGCGTTACAAATTTTTGAAAATTCAATCAATCTTTTTGAGCGAAACAGAGGATATCTCGATCGAGGGAGAAAATGGGGAAATCCCATATAGCCCGATATATCTGACAAGTCGCACTATATGTCAACCCAAGATGTATCTCCTTCTCCAGGACTTCGAAAAGGTACTTTTGGAACGCCAATAGGCATGAAATGAAAAAAAAGAGAATGAAGTTCTCTATTTCACTTTGATGTGGAAACGTAAAATTGGGGTTTCGGTTTTTAATACTATTATCCTTTTTTCCTACTTTATTAATCATATTTAAATTAATGATATTTAATACATAAGTTGAATAAGCTAAAATAAAATATAAAATAAAAGTAAAGTAAGAGAGAATGAATAAAACTAAAGGAAATTTTTTACGAACGGGCTTCTGAATGATCAACAATAATAGCTATCTTGGTTCATATAAAATAGGATTCACCCCCATTGCATATTGGTACTTATCGGATATAGAATAGATCCGCTTCCCTTTTTTCTATGAATTGAATTGTTCCATTATTACTAACAGAATAGAACAAATATTAATCCTTTCTCCGAAATAATTACCTAAAAAGGGGGGTACGTAGCATAGTTTTTTCCAATGCAATAAAGTTACATAGTGTCTATTTTTCGTTGATAAAGGGGTATTTCCATGGGTTTGCCTTGGTATCGTGTTCATACTGTTGTATTGAATGATCCCGGTCGTTTACTTTCTGTTCATATAATGCATACTGCTCTGGTTGCTGGTTGGGCTGGTTCGATGGCTCTATATGAATTAGCAGTTTTTGATCCCTCCGACCCCGTTCTTGATCCAATGTGGAGACAAGGTATGTTCGTTATACCTTTCATGACTCGTTTAGGAATAACCAATTCGTGGGGCGGTTGGAATATTACAGGAGGGACTATAACGAATCCGGGTCTTTGGAGTTACGAAGGGGTAGCCGGAGCACATATCGTGTTTTCTGGTTTGTGCTTCTTGGCAGCTATTTGGCATTGGGTATATTGGGATCTAGAAATTTTTTGTGATGAACGTACAGGAAAACCTTCTTTGGATTTGCCCAAGATTTTTGGAATTCATTTATTTCTTTCAGGAGTGGCTTGCTTCGGTTTTGGCGCATTTCATGTAACAGGATTATATGGTCCTGGAATATGGGTATCCGACCCTTATGGACTAACCGGAAAGGTCCAACCCGTAAACCCGGCGTGGGGCGTGGAGGGTTTTGACCCTTTTGTTCCGGGAGGAATAGCCTCTCATCATATTGCAGCAGGGACGTTGGGTATATTAGCGGGCCTATTCCATCTTAGTGTTCGTCCGCCTCAACGTCTATACAAAGGATTACGTATGGGCAATATTGAAACCGTTCTTTCCAGTAGTATTGCTGCTGTCTTTTTTGCAGCTTTTGTTGTTGCTGGAACTATGTGGTATGGTTCTGCAACTACTCCTATCGAATTATTTGGTCCTACTCGTTATCAATGGGATCAGGGATACTTTCAACAAGAAATATATCGAAGAGTTAGTGCTGGACTGGCTGAAAATCAAAGTTTATCAGAAGCTTGGGCTAAAATTCCTGAAAAATTAGCTTTTTATGATTATATTGGTAATAATCCAGCAAAAGGGGGGTTATTCCGAGCAGGTTCAATGGACAATGGGGATGGAATAGCTGTTGGATGGTTGGGCCACCCCGTCTTTAGGAATAAAGAAGGGCGTGAACTTTTTGTACGCCGTATGCCTACTTTTTTTGAAACTTTTCCGGTTGTTTTGGTAGACGGAGACGGAATTGTTAGAGCCGACGTCCCGTTTAGAAGGGCAGAATCAAAATATAGTGTCGAACAAGTAGGTGTAACTGTTGAGTTTTATGGTGGTGAACTCAATGGAGTGAGTTATAGTGATCCCGCAACTGTGAAAAAATATGCTAGACGGGCTCAATTGGGTGAGATTTTTGAATTAGATCGTGCGACTTTGAAATCCGATGGTGTTTTTCGTAGCAGCCCAAGAGGTTGGTTTACGTTTGGACATGCTTCGTTTGCTCTACTTTTCTTCTTTGGACACATTTGGCATGGTGCTAGAACCCTCTTCAGAGATGTTTTTGCTGGTATTGATCCAGATTTGGATGCTCAAGTGGAATTTGGGGCATTCCAAAAACTTGGAGATCCAACTACAAAACGACAAGCAGTCTGATGCAACATTGCTTTTTTTCTTCTAGTTTCTGTTTATTATTTTATTTAATAGGTAGGGTACTGTAGGAATCTTGATTTAAATCGCTGCCGTTTCTTTGACTCTTTTTCTGTCTTTATCCAGAGGGATACTCCCAAGTAAACAAAACAGGTATGAAAGCTATAATTGTAAACCACGATCAAATTTATGGAAGCATTGGTTTATACATTTCTCTTAGTATCCACTTTAGGGATAATTTTTTTCGCTATTTTTTTTCGGGAACCACCTAAAATTTCAACTAAAAAATGAAAAAAATTTTCATTATTTTCATTGACGTAATCAGCCTCCAAATATTTGGAGGCTGATTACGTCAACTAGTCCCCGTGTTCCTCGAATGGATCTCTTAGTTGTTGAGAGGGTTGCCCAAAGGCAGTATATAGAGCATACCCAGTAAAACTTACAAGTAACCCAGATATAAAGATGGCGACTAGGGTTGCTGTTTCCATTATTATAGAATTGAAAGACCACACCGGATCTATGCTAAGATCATTTATTTACAACGGAATGGTATACAAAGTCAACAGATCGTAATGAATACAAAATAAGATTTATGGCTACACAAACTGTTGAGGATAGTTCTAGATCTGGTCCAAGAAGCACTACTGTAGGGAAGTTATTGAAACCATTGAATTCCGAATATGGTAAAGTAGCTCCTGGATGGGGAACGACCCCTTTGATGGGTGTTGCAATGGCTCTATTTGCGGTATTCCTATCTATTATTTTGGAGATTTATAATTCTTCTGTTCTACTGGATGGAATTTCAGTGAATTAGACTGAGAAGAATCTTGAAGTTCTAGCTTTTAGCTCGGTACAAAAACGTAAAGTATGTAGGTCTAACAACTTTAGCCTATTCTCCTTTGGTAGTTCGGCCGCGAAAATTTTTTCTGCATTGTATATTTCCGGAATATGAGTGTGTGACTTGTTAGAATTGACCCTATGGATAGTACAGAGAATGGGGTCTGTCATCTTTATCAAGATGGTTTTACTTCGTCGGATATTCATTCGAATATCTGGAGCACGAAATAGATCAAATAGATCACAAAGTATTCGAACTATGATTCATACTTAATACTCAGACCTCGTAGCCGGACTTCTTTCCGTTCTATCTTATAAACTTTAATAAATCAAAAAATTTTTCTGCTTTTAAACTCTTATTTGGATCAAAGGACAAACGCTTCTTTGTATTTTATGTTTTTAGTCATTATAGCTATTTTTTTGATTGAATAAGTGATGATCCAATGGTTCTCACTCAGTGAACTTTGGACTTTGAAGGTTTCATTGAATTATCGTGGTTCTCGTATGAATCTGAGGTTTCAATTGATTAGTTAAGTAGGGTCTTAACAAGAGAATTCCTATCAATAATAAAGAAAACAAGAAGAAATCCCTATCCCCGTTCCATACAAATACCAAATAAAAAAGACAATAAAGATAGGTAATCTAGAAGATTCAAGAGGCCTGTAACGATCAACACAACATAAAGACGAATGAGCTTACTTGATTTTTTGGCATTTAACCACAAAGACGAGCTTTCGCATTTTGACTCTTTCATATCTTTAAATAATATTGAATAAGAGACAAGTTTAAAACTTTATATTCCATATCTGTTTCAATCAGTATTTAGGTCTTTTTTTGTTTGAGCTGTACGAGATGAAATTCTCATATACAGTTCTTGGAGGGGGAGTAACCTTGGTTTACCTATCTCAATAAAGTTTATGATTGGTTCGAAGAACGCCTTGAGATTCAGGCGATTGCAGATGATATAACTAGTAAATATGTTCCTCCGCATGTCAACATATTTTATTGTCTAGGCGGAATTACCCTTACTTGTTTTTTAGTACAAGTAGCTACGGGATTTGCTATGACTTTTTATTACCGTCCAACCGTTACTGAAGCTTTTGCTTCTGTTCAATATATAATGACTGAAGCTAACTTTGGTTGGTTAATCCGATCAGTTCATCGATGGTCGGCAAGTATGATGGTCCTAATGATGATCCTGCACGTATTTCGTGTATACCTCACCGGTGGTTTTAAAAAACCTCGCGAATTAACTTGGGTTACTGGTGTGGTTCTGGGTGTATTGACCGCATCTTTTGGTGTAACAGGTTATTCTTTACCTTGGGATCAAATTGGTTATTGGGCAGTCAAAATTGTAACAGGTGTACCTGACGCTATTCCGGTAATAGGATCACCTCTTGTAGAATTATTACGCGGAAGTGCTAGTGTTGGACAATCCACTTTGACTCGTTTTTATAGTTTACACACTTTTGTATTACCTCTTCTTACGGCCGTCTTTATGTTAATGCATTTCCTAATGATACGTAAGCAAGGTATTTCTGGTCCCTTATAAATAATATAGATTCTAGATATTTGTACTTACTTATTACTTGGTGAAGGAACGATAGTATTTTATTGCTATAAATATGGATTATTAAAAAAATAAGACATGTATTTGGATATTTCCCTTCAACTCCACAATATTTTATTATTTTTTTGACATAAAAAGTTGAAGGGAATTCTATGAAGAGATAATGGATTATGGGAGTGTGTGACTTGAACTATTGATCGGGCCGTGCAGAAATATGACTTTATCTGCTACATTGGAATTCACAACCAAATGTGTCTTTGTTCCAACCACTGTGTAAGCCCCATACAGGGGATAGGCTGGTTCACTTTAAGAGAATCTTTTCTATGATCATACCCGACGCTGCCGTGGATGAGTGGGCTCCGTAAAATCCAGTAGATTAAGGGATGGAACATAATCCTGATTATGTTTTTAGTTATTTTGGACTAAAAAAAAGAAAATAATTAAAAGAAAATAATTAATAGTATGTAAATGCATTCATTTTCTCTGCATCGACTCGATTTATGATACTATCGGAGTGAATACAGGATCTAATGAAGAGTAGAGGGTAGACTCCATTAGTAACAAGTAAATCCTTTGTATTTGAAAAATCTCGATATAATTTTTGAGATTAAGGACAAATTTATAAGGTATGAGACGACCCAGAAAGCACTTAATTTTTTTAAGCTTACGTGGGTGTTGAGCATTTACCTGTAAGAATGGAATTTCTGGAATCTTTAGTTGCAATAACTTTGGAATCGGATAATTCTTTTTTTACATATTAAATTATATTTTTTGTATGTATTCATTTAGTTTGGTTAATTCTTGCTCGAGCCGGATGATAAAAAATTATCATGTCCGGTTCCCTCGGGGGATGGATCCATAAGAATTCACCTATCCCAATAACAAAAAAACCAGATTTGAATGATCCTGTATTACGAGCTAAATTAGCTAAAGGTATGGGTCACAATTATTACGGGGAACCCGCATGGCCCAACGACCTTTTATATATTTTTCCAGTAGTCATTCTTGGTACCATTGCCTGTAACGTAGGCTTAGCGGTTTTAGAACCATCAATGATTGGTGAACCTGCGGATCCTTTTGCAACTCCTTTGGAAATATTACCTGAATGGTATTTCTTTCCTGTATTTCAAATACTTCGTACAGTGCCTAACAAATTATTGGGTGTTCTTTTAATGGTTTCAGTACCAGCGGGATTATTAACCGTACCCTTTTTGGAAAATGTTAATAAGTTTCAAAATCCATTTCGTCGTCCAGTAGCGACAACCGTTTTTTTGATTGGCACCGCGGCGGCCCTGTGGTTAGGTATTGGAGCAACATTACCGATTGATAAATCTCTAACTTTAGGTCTTTTTTAATTAAATTTATTCAATTGTAAAATAAACGACGTGGGTATCTAGGGAGTAGTCATTTCCAAATGAATTCTCCCTAGATACATATCTAATTAATTTAATTAATTAATTAAAATGGGTTCGACTGGAAAATCGAAATTACGTTGAAGGTTTAAAATCCATTTCAATTTGAAATTGAAATGCTTTTTCTATTTTTTTTCTAGAATGTCTAATATCTTTTTTACATCTTCTACGTGAAAATGTTCAATTTTGATAAGGTCTTCTTGACTGTTATTCAAAAGGTCCAATAATGTATGTATATTGGACTTTTTGAGACAATTGTAGATTCTGGGAGGCAATTCTAATTGGTCAATAAAAATATATTGAAAGGCTAGTTCTTTTGTTTTTTTTCTTAGGTTAACTAATCTATTATGAAAAGGAAAAAAGGGTAAAGTAACTTGATGCTGATTGTTCTCTAAATAGAACGTTTCTTCTTCTACATGTAGAAAAGGAATAAATAAATTAATCAAATTCCGGGAGGCTTCATGAAGTGCTTCTTTAGGAGTTAAACTTCCATTTGTCCATATTTCTAGAAAAAGAATCTCTTGTTTTTCATTCCCATTCCCATAAGAATGAATACTATGATTCGCGTTTTCAACAGGCATGAATACAGCATCGATAGGATAACTTCTGTCTTCAAAGTTATTTGACATTTTTAGACTATATCCGCGATTCCTCTCGATTTTTAATTCAATACACAAATCTATTGTTTCCGTTAAGGTAGCTATATGCTGTGTATTATCAATGATTTCTACAGAGGGCGGTAAAATTATGTCTCGAGCAGTTATATATCCAGGACCTTGGACACAAATAAGCGCGTTGCGCGTTCCATATAGATTACTTCTTAATACAATCTCGTTCAAATTCATTAAAATTTCATGTACTGATTCTTGAATACCTACTATGTTAGAATAGTCATGTGGTATGTTCTCAGATTTTGCACGTGTAATACATGTTCCTTCTATTTCGCCAAGTAAAGCTCTTCGCATCGCAATGCCTATTGTGTCGGCTTGACCTTTCATAAGTGGAGACAGAATAAAGCGTCCATAATAAAGACGCTTACTGTCTCTTTTTGATTCAACACACTTCCACTGTAGTGTCCGAGTAGATACTTTGACTTTCTCTCGAACCATAGTAATTTTATTTGATCAGATCATTGAATCGTTTATTTCTCTTGAAACCCTTTCAGCCTTTATTTAGTTCTATACACGTCTTTTTTTAGGGGGTCTACAACCATTATGTGGCATAGGGGTTACATCTCGTACGAAACTTAAAAGTATACCGCTTCTACGAATAGCTCGTAATGCTGCATCTCTTCCGAGTCCAGGGCCTTTTATCCTTACTTCAGCTCGTTGCATACCTTGATCCACTACTGCTCGAATAGCATTTCCTGCTGCGGTTTGGGCAGCAAAAGGCGTTCCTCTTCTTGTACCCCGGAATCCACAAGTACCCGCGGAGGACCAAGAAATCACCCGACCCCGTACATCTGTAACGGTCACAATGGTATTGTTGAAACTTGCTTGAACATGAATAACTCCCTTTGGTATTCTACGTACATTTTTACGTGAACCACTACGTGTATTTTTACGCGAACCAATTCTTAATATAGGTTTTGCCATATTTTTTCATTTCACAAGAAATATATGGATATATCCATTTCATGTCAAAACAGACCCTTTTTTCCAACTCTTTGGAAGTGCCTTTTCCTTTACTTTAGTTCCTTTAGTAAGATTATCCTTGTCTTTGTTTATGCCTCGGGTTGGAACAAATTACTATAATTCGTCCCCTCCTGCGGATTAGTCGACACTTTTCACAAATTTTACGAACGGAAGCCCTTATTTTCATAGTTGTTATTCCTTAATTCTGTGAATATATTTATTGGTGGACGAAAAAAAGGTTTCTTGATATTTTTGAATCTTGAATTGTATCTTCGTGAAAGGAATGGTTGAAATTGAAAAAACCACTTACTTATTTGAATCCTTGTTATGGAGTCTAGAAAATGGCTGTCCCCTGATTAACTTATACCTAAGAACTTACTAAAAATTTTACCTTTTTCTCCTATAGGTATACCTATACAAAAATATGTCGAATCCTTTCAGAAGCATGAACTAAAAAAAAATTTTTAGTATCTAAACAAAATCGAACCATGCCGTTCGGAAGTGATTCAGAAAGAAAACTTTCATTAATTCATTTTTTCTTTAATTTCATTCGAAGTAAAACATCCGAAACTTTTTTGAACAGGGGTGGTATTACACAACCCCCTTTTTTTCACAAATCGTAAGTTCCAGATATGTAATTTTTATATTAGAAGGATTACCATATATAACACAAAATTTCTCCGCCGATTCTTTTTAGTCGAGCTTCTCGGTCTGTCATTATACCTTGAGAAGTCGAAAGGATTACAATTCCTATTCCGCCTAAAATTCGTGGAATTCGTTGAGAGTTAGAATAGATTCGTAGACCCGGCCGACTTATTCTCTTTAAATTTAAAATCGTTTTATAGGATTCTTTCTTATTTCGTCTGTGTCTTAGGGTTAAAATCAAAAAATATTGGTTGCTTTCGCGATGTTTCCTTACGTTTTCGATAAAACCCTCTCGTAAAAGGATTTTAACAATACTTTCGGTGATGTTAGTCGATCCTATCCGAACCGTTCCTTTTCTATTCATGTCAGCATTTCGTATAGAGGTTATTATATCAGCAATAGTGTCTTTCCCCATGATAAGTTAAAATTCCTTATTGTTCTATAATTTTGATATAATCAACATGTTCTTTTTCTTTTATTTATATATAGATATAGACGAATTATATATTAATATATGAATTAAATTCTTAATATTTTATTATTAAGGGTATATGCGTGATACACAATCTATTAATTAATTTTATTTCAATACCAGTTTTTTTAATCCTATACTAAACTATCGATATTTAGATCTTATAATACCTCAGGAGCTAATGAAACTATTTTAGTAAAGTTTAATTGTCTCAATTCCCGTGGGATCGCCCCAAAAACTCGAGTTCCTTTTGGATTTCCTTCTTGATCAATGACAACTGCGGCATTGTCATCATATCGTATTATCGTCCCATTATTACGTTTGAGTTCTTTACAAGTACGTACAATTACAGCTCTAATCACTTCTGATCTTTCTAGAGGAGTATTTGGTATTGCTTCTTTGATTACAGCAACAATAACGTCACCAATATGAGCATATCGGCGATTACTAGCTCCTATTATTCGAATACACATCAATTCTCGAGCCCCGCTGTTGTCTGCTACATTCAAATAGGTTTGTGGTTGAATCATATCATTTTTTTTGTATCTCTTCTTTTAATGCAAAGGACGAAGTAAAAAAATATTGTTTGTCAAAAAAATAAAATTGATAATCTTTTTATCCTTAAATGTTATTTAGCTTTTTCATTCTATATTCCTATTCAGAAATAATGAATTGGGTTTTTATAGGCATTTTTGATGCCGCTATTGAAATAGCTTTTCTGGCTATATTTTCGGGTACACCACCCATTTCATAAAGGATTTTACCTGGTTTAACCACAGCTACCCAATACTCGGGGGATCCTTTCCCAGAACCCATACGCGTTTCCGCAGGTCTTACTGTAACTGGTTTGTCTGGAAATATACGTACCCAAATTTTTCCACCACGTCGTACATTTCGTGTCATTGCTCGTCGCCCTGCTTCTATTTGTCTAGATGTGATCCAAGCGGGTTCAAGTGTTTGAAGAGCATATCTGCCAAAACAAATACGATTCCCACGAGAAGATATTCCTTTTAGT